GGGACGCAGAAGCGATCTGGCGACAGGTAAGTCGCCAGGATCGCTTCTGTTGTAAAGCCGACAGTCGGCTCTACAAGTTTAAACAGAGTCCCGGCGGCAAAAGTCGCCGGGAGTCTGTTTAAACAGCCCCGATGCTGGCGACGTACACTGTACGTCGTCAGTCACGAAGGGGTTAATATTTATCTTTCAGATATGATAGCATGTGGAAGTGGAGGAACATAGGATGTGGAGGTGGAAAATCTTCAGCAAATACCATTGTCATCTTATCAATTTCCTTTGCTTTAAAATCTGCCCACTTTCTCATGCTGTCATATCTTGAGGACACATAGCTTCAGCCTGGCTGCCTGAGCAACCTATCTGCAGGTCCAGACATTGTAAAGATGGGTATATAGTTATGCAAATGGAAACTTTAAAATAAACCTGTACAAGTCCAACTGATCCTGTGATGAAATCACAAGCAGCAGTTGTCTTCTGTGAAAACCACATAAGAAAATGATCAGTGGATCCAGAGAAATAGGCAGCTGAAGTCATATATAGCAATTTACAACAACTTTGCCTGGTTGTACCCATAAAGACATATTCATCTTCAACAACAATATAAAGCTGACAACTGGAAAGGAGGAAGTATCATACCGTGGTAAAGAAAAGAGAATAGTTAGAATAGTAAGTCCTCTTTGATAATGAAAAAAAGAACATACAGATCACAAAATCATTATTATTTATATACGGACATCAGTTATGACTGCACTAAACTGATGTGTAAATCTGAAATTTCTGCCAACTGTTATTAGTCTCAGAGTCAGTAGTGCAGCGTCCATATAGCTGTCTGAATGATATTGCTGGTAACAGCTAGAGAAAATCATGCCTCAGTTGGGAGGAATAAAACTTTCAGTGAGCCATATTTTGTTCTATTGCTTCCTTGCAGTTGTCAGATCACATCAATCATTTAGAAATGGCAGGCATGTTTTGCTCCATTTCATACTGTACAGATATAAAATGATTAGGATTTCTGACAATGTCATACAGTAAAATAAGCTTAATACATTCAGCTCTGCATGTAGATAAATGATAAGAGCATCAGAATTAGAGAACTACATCTACACCTGCTCAAGGCAGAATGTTCTTGCATAATTTAACTATATTTTGTAAAATTATAATATGATTTTGCATTGTTTCGTTCTTGTTCTTTAGTATACTACTGTATTTGGGGTTTTTCGGCAGCACTCACCCCCTAAGGAGCCGCTGTAATAACCGGGTCATCACTAGTCTGTCTAGGGCATTTGATCTTCAGCTGCCCCATTAGCATTTAACCGCCCTTCTTCTAGTGCCCACAAACCTGATGTCCACTCCAGTATTGTAATGCTGAATAGCTTTTATTAAACATCTTAACACTGGGGAGAAAGGGTATAGGGATCCTAGACATCCAAGGTGTAACAGACATAGACTCCAGACTTACCAGACCTTGTTAGCAGCTAAGTGTAGGTCCACTTGGAGTACAGCAAATAGCAATTGGAGTAACAGAGGAGCAGGAGATGATTACAGATCCTCAGCAGGTGAGACCCCAGCCATGCTCCAGAGGTCCTGTATGTTCCAGGCTCCTCCAGCAGACATCAACTTTTTGGTTCTCCTCCTCTGATAATAGCACAGGCCTCCTCCATACCTGAGTCCTAGAGAAACTCTTCCCACACTCCAGCCTCTGCCCACCCCCAGGTCTAGCCTGGGGCTGGACAGCATCTGTCCCTAATCCATGGCTGGTCCCGACTATTCCCTCCAGTATATGTACCCTATCCCAGCATGCACCACTGGTTGAGAGAGCCCCTTTGATTGGCTGCTGTACAGTACACACACTTACAATGTCCCTCATTGGCTATCCCATAATACAGCAGAGTCACACACCACCCAGGGGGATACAGTCAATGCCAGACACCTTGAATTAACCATAATCCTCCTGTCCCATCGCACTCCTGACCGGACAAAAAACCCAAATCCAACTGGGTGGGTGCGGTGGTGACAACGGATGCCTCCGTGAAATGTAGATAGATGAAAGTAGTCACTCGCACTCCATGATATTAAAGTCAATGCTGTTTATTGACTGAGATAACACACATCTCCTTAGCGACGTTTCGAGACCATGCGGTTCCGTCCTCAGGCAAACAGAGGACGGGACCGCCTGAGGACGAGACCGCATGGTCTTGAAACGTCGCTAAGGAGATGTGTGTTATCTCAGTCAATAAACAGCATTGACTTTAATATCATGGAGTGCGAGTGACTACTTTCATCTACCTGGAATTAACCAGACAAATGCCACTATAATCCAGCCAGGCTGACTGCAACCCTGGCAATCTCTAAATGACTAGTAGCCACCTCACAAAAGGTGATGGGGCTACATGTAATTTTTTGCCTTGGGGCAGGCATTGGTTAGTATTCAGTATTCTGGGTCATTAAAACATAACTAAATACAAGAAAAATTTAATATATTGCAGTTTTTTCATTTCTTAGATGTGGTGGGCACAACTTCAGCAAGTATAGAAAATACCTGTAATGTTGGAAGGAATGCATTGTCCTTGTAACTTCCTGGGTACTGAACTGGAAACACAGTGAATGTTATTTTTCTTGTGTAATCTACTAATCTCCCCATCTTTAATGTAATATACTGTAGATGAACAAAGGTAAGAATATTTGTAGTCCAACCTGGTCTCCTTCCATAGATAAAATAGAGGATTGAGCATAAGCCACCCAGGGACAGGAAGTGTTTTTCACAATTCATGCATCTTTGCCCAGATCATATATCTCTGGTGCACTGAAGGGACGTGTAGTCAGGAAAGGCAGGTGAGGCAGTGCCTCACCTAGAATTATGGAGGATACAGCTGTCAGCTTCAAGTCTGAAGCTGACAGCTTTTTCTCCATTCAGATCAGCATCTAACAGGTTACACAGCAGGGAAAGCCTCCCCGCTGTGTAACCTGTCATGGACGGAGTGCTGCCTGTTAATTACGGGCAGTGCTGCATCCGACTTTTGACAGGTAGTTAGGTTACAGGGCAGCGGGCATCCCCACTGCTTGTGTAACCTAACTATTGAAGCCAGAGCTGTCACAGCCTCTACTATTTGTTAGAGGCGTGAGCACTGTGAATGGCAAAGCGCCATTGGTCCAAGCTGTCCAATCAAAAAAAGAAAAAAAACCCCACTGAGGCCATCAATCTCAATGCCTCAGCAGTGACAAGCAATTGAGGGACTTCATTTAAACTAGCTTGGGGATGGGTTGGGGCTTCGTCCGGTGGGGGCATGGCTTCGATCGGCGGGGGCGGGGCGGGATGTGCTGGGGGCGAGGCTGGGGAATGCCTCACCTGGAACAAGAGGTACCGCACATCACTGGTGCACTGACTGTGCAGATGGTTTTCAAAGGTGCACATGTTTCTGCATACCAGCAGAGGGTTCAGACAACTAATCTTTGGGGAAAACACAATCGTAATGCCCCTATTCCTCCCCAAGTTAGGCTGCCTTCCAAGGTGTTTTCCTAACCCTGTAGGCACACCTTTAAATACTTGGGCAATTACAAAATGCAAATCAGATTCTATAATTCGATACAAAAAATAATAAAAGGAACAATTTGGTTGTTCCTGGCAAAGGGAATTGTTCCTAATTTTTATTTAGTATTATCATTTATGTTTTTACTTTTTTGGAATTATTTTATGTGACTTTCATATTCTGACCTATTTCTCAATATATTTGTTATTGTACATAATACCGAAATGTGTAGAATGGCTACAGGATGCGGCAAACACATAATCTGAAATTTCTTAACTACTGTTGAGATAAAGTATCAGCCACACAGGAAGTGCATTAATTTGATTGAGTTAGCCAACTCATATACTTGCGTTGTGAGAAGGAGTAGTGAACCACAACCATTGCTTAGCACTGCTTTAGCAGAGCCTACATATGCATTGGGCATTTATGACTTCCATAATACTATAATACTGTATCTGAACAATGATGCATCTATAGAGACAAGGGTTTTTAAAACAAGGAAATGCAGTGATAAATGTATTAAAATCAAGTTCATGTTTTACGTACACACACATGTATATCAGGGAAAAAAACTACACATTCCCTTTAAAGGCTTGCATCATCCCACCAAGGCATTTCAAACTCTGCAGCTGCCATACCAATCATTGAGTGCTTTTAACTTTCCAGCAAAGGATACATTTTAACAAGCTGTACTTACATTTGCTGATGATAGCTTTGAAAAATACTTTTTCCAAGCTTTTAAAGCAATGCATATAAAATTCATATTTTTCATTTGATATCATGGTTTCTGCATATGGTAAGGGACTTACATAAATTTGGTTGTTTTTGAACCGTTTCTGAATCTCATACAACAGGCTGCTATCCGTGAGCTCACTGAGAGTTGCTAAGTCGTCATTTGGAGCTGCTGGCATTAATTTGATCTGGGCAAACACAAGAAAGTATATTTTACTTGTTGTTCCATTATAAAATCCTAACAACATATCATGTAAAGGAAAACTCCAGTCAAATCACAAAAGTTGGTAATATTCATTTCATGTACTGCAGTAGCTCACAGTCAGAAAAAGAAAGCACAAGTACACACAACCTGATATTTTGTTAGTTTAGGGGTGATTTTTTTACCATTAACTGGAGCTCTTGCTTCAAGTTTTCACCCGGACATAACTTGAAAAATGTCTTATTAATAGGATTACTAACAATTCCTGCTAAGTTACCCACTCACAGCATTTTGGTGACTACTCAATCTGTCTGCTGACCAGTTATCGCCCCATTTTGTTCTGATTCCAAGTACTTTCCTCAATGTTCCTCTTGCATGTCTTTGTTCAGTTACATGAAGAGGGTCAGGGTTAGCCTGTGGCGTTAAGTAAAAACTAGTATAGGTTTTAATGTTAGGATGTAGATAAAGCTTCAGCTTAGCGATATGACATCCTGTATGATGCACATCGGTGCACAGTGTGCTACTATTGATTAACTGAAAACAAAAGAATTACCCAAATCTGCTTCTTTACCAGTTGTATTTCTTTTTTTTTTTGCAAATGGGTTGTACAGCTTTAGGGATAGAAAGCTATATGCCCACCATTGGCATTGGCAAAATCTTAAAAGGTTTTTGTCAATCCCGTATTGAGGTCAATGAGGCCCTTACACAAAGTGAGCAAAGAAGGAGATCAACAGAGAAAACGTATGGTGCACGTTGGCTTCTGCAAACAAATACAATAGGTGCATTCATTGTTATATTATGACCTATAGCAAATTAAACTTATATACATGAGAAATGTCTTGTGCTGTTCCTTTGAATTACACTGGAGATTTGACAAAATGAGACAAAAGGTTGTAACGTCTAGAGCAAGGGTAGGCAAACTCCGGTCCCCCAGCTGTGGTGCAATTGCAAGACTTTGACAGCCACAGGCAGGACTCTGAAAGGCAATGGCATGATGGGATTTGTAGCTTTACCACAACTGGAGGGCCAGTGTTTGCCTACCCCTGATCTACAGCATTGATTTGTTATGTCTTACAATTTGTGCCCTCTTATACAGAGCATGTGGTTTTTGTTGAGTGTTTTCTATTACTGTTAGTAAGGAGTGAGTTTAGGGTTAATTCTTGGAGGACTTCCTTAGAGGTGTGCTTGACATTTACCACTAGAAAGATGCAAGAGCATTCCAAGTGTCTAACCATAATTATTAATAATTACACCTAAAAATAAGCCTGTGTTCTCGAACAGGCATTACTATTTGCAGAAATAATCTTTAAAAGTAGTAATCTGCAATAAATATATTAATAACCTCTGCTGAAATAAAAAAGACTCAACCCCATCGTTAGTTACTTTATATTACCTGTTCCAGTTTAGAAGAACTGGTCACATTCATTCTTTCAGAAGCATTGTCTTGCGAGTAATGCTTGCTTAATGTCTTTGCTGAATCTCTGAACATTGTGTCTTTTTCCAGCAAACTATCTTGCTTAGAAATTGGTATTGCCAATGGACGTCTACAAAAAAAAAAAAGGAGAGAGCGCGAGAGATAAATGAAATTAGCTCAGCCTAGAATGAAAACAATTAATATGGAGGATTATGGATGAACTTGTGCTCAGACTGAGGAAAGCAAAAGACATGTAGCTAGTAATATTTAAAATTCTACTCAGTGCCAGCAATGCTAAAAATGCCTACATCGGCAGAATACTCATGAAACTAGATTTGTGCAAAGAAAACAGATCAATAAGTCATCTAACATTTTTCAGGTGAAGCCACCATAAAATGTAAATCCTTTAAAAAGACAGTGTGAACATTCAGCACGGGCTACACATTGGCCATTTGTTTCCATTCTGAACAGCATATATTATATGCTATATAACAAGGTAAAAAAATAAGAAAAAGGATAAAATTGACAGAATTTCGCCCTGTATTGGTTTTCTCAGTATCTTCCTAAGTGTTATTATATTTCAAACAGGGAATAGTTTTTCAAAAGCTTATATCAAAATGCAAGAAGTGTGCATGTTCTCCCTGTGCTTGCGCAGGTTTCCTCTGGGTACTCCGGTTTCCTCCCACACTCCAAAACATGCTGGAAGGTTAATTGGCTCCTGTCTAAATTGTCTCTATATGAATGTGAGATATGGACCTTAGATTGTAAGCTCCTTGAGGGCAGGGAGTGATGTGCACGTGCAGTATGTAAAGCACTGTGTAAATTGTTGGCACTATATACAGTAAATGCCAGTATAAATAAAATATATAAATAAAAGCTGATATCTATGCAATGTACCAGTATAATGTACACGTCTATGTCCTAATAAATAAAATATGCCTTGAGAAGCCACAGAGCAATAGGGACAGATGCCTAGCGCTAACTAAAGGCAGATGTGTGGGTGGAGCCTCAGTGATTTAATTTCTAATATCTTTTTTTATTTTCGGGGAATGGTTATATTTTTTCTTATAATGTACATATTCATGAAATATATGATAACTATTTTTTTGCTGATGGTGCCAGTGATATTTATCCTATGCAAACAGTTTAAGGCAAAATCCACCTTTTAGGCTCCATCCACATATAGCGTTTGCATTTCCTCTGAGGTTTTCCATGTGGAAGACCGTACGGCACAAAATATTTACATCTGCACGGATTCCGCTCGTTTGCGGCTATTACTATAGCTGCGAACATGCAGAATGCGCCCTGGAAATCGTACTTGGACTTGCATTCCATTGAGAACTACAAGTCCCTCTGTCGCAATGGATCTGTGAAAGAATATGTGAATGGATGACACAGCTGTTTGGGTGGAGACACACACAGCCGTGCCACATTCAAAAGTATACAGAATCCCTCAGGGAGAAGAACCTCACGATTCAGGTAAGTGGGGGGCAGGAATGGGGTGGGGGGTTTGGGATGTTTCATGCTACACCCTGAATATGGGTGTAACATTAAACATGGTTGGAAAAGTAACTTAGACTGTAACATAAATTTGAATATTGTGAATTATAAATTAAGCATAGTTAAAGCGATATTAAAGTCAAAATTATTATAAGCTATTTCATAGTTACATAGTTACATAGTATTTGAGGTTGAAAAAAGACACGGGTCCATCAAGCCCAGCCTATAGCGTGTATGCATGTGAATCTACATGTGTATGAGTGTGGATGAGTCCATGTGTCTTCTTAAAGTGACATTAAACCCTCAGATTTTTTTAACATAAACCAATACTGTAATGTGTGCCTTACTGTAATCCATGGTAGTTTCCCTTCTCTTTGCTGCTCTTTCTTTTAAATCCTCATGTCTTCTCATGCTTGGGGAGAACTTCCCTTTGCAGCTGAGTGCCTCTTCCTGTTGTGCTAGCTCAGGTTCCAAAGCTACACACAGACACCATGTAGCCATTCCAGAGACAAGGCAGTCTGCTGCAAAACAGAAGTTCTGCCCAGCATGAGAACAGATAAAGATTTAAAAGAAAGAGCAGCAAAGAGAAGGGAAACAACCATGGATTACAGTAAGGCACACATTACAGTATTGTTTTATGTTAAAAAATCTGAGGGTTTAATGTCACTTTAAGTGTACCTGTACCCCTGTATGTTGCGGTCTCTGAGGAAATTGTCCAAAAGCTTTTTGAATTATTTAACACTCTTAGCTGAAATCACTGCTTGTTATGGAAATTCACTTGGTTCAACGCACAAATCCATGTCGCATTAAGCTGCGCCAAACGCAAAGAATTTCCCCCGTTGTACTACGCTCTTTTATGCAAGGACTGGAAGTATCCCCTTCTATAGAGTCACGTAGAGTCAGGAGACAGATGTTGCTTGTTCGTTAATCCCATGCTAAGAGACCTGAGCGCAGGTTGGTTTATTGTTTATACCTGCCCAACAGGAAGTGATGTCAGACAGGAAGGGGTGTCTCAAACAGCGAGACAGGAAGTGATGGCAAACCAACAGATGATTTCAACAACCAGCAAACCAGGAAGTGGGACAGACAGGAAGTGAACAGGAGTCAGCTAACAAATCACATGTAGTAACAATCAATGACCACCGGAGTGACTTTATCCAGCGTTGCTCAGTGATCAATGCCACATAACGTTACTAGGATTCTCATGCACGCTCATTCACAGGGATAACGTTATATCATCTCAAGCGTGTTGATCAGGCACACCAGAGAGAACAAACGCACGTTCCTTTCATATACTGCGTTCCAAACAAATGTATCCACGCAAGCCAATAAATCCATGCATTGCACGGGGGGCCCCAGCCGGCGTCCATACATTCGCCAAGAAGACACTGCTCCGCTGCGCATAAGAAATCTCCTCCAATGGATTAATCCCCCAGTGTCTATTTAAACAGAGACACTGAGAGACACTGAGAGACTAATGACAAAACATTACAATACACTAAAAACACATCCTAATAAAATTTCCACAACATGCTTGTGGCAGCGAGTTCCATACCTTGACCGCTCTTATTGAGAGGAAGCCCCTACGCCCCTTGTGCTTAAATTTTTTCTCCACCAGTTTTAGGTGGTGGCCTCTAGTCTTTGTTATGGCCCCTTGACCCCCGGCCGCTGCCACCTGCACCCGGCCGAGGGCAGCCCGTTGGGTCCTTCTGAGGACCCCCTTGAGGACCAAGCAGCCGCCGATCGCAGAGCCGCAGGTGCAGGGCCGGCCGGGTGCAGGTGACAAACAGGCGACAGAGGGAGAGAGCCACTGCAGCTGCGGCCACAGC